GGTGAGGGGAACCACTGTGCCAGCCTGCTGTGCCAGCTGTTACACGCTGACCCGGGGATGCCTCCTCCTCTGCTTGAGTTTTCTTTTTTTTTTTTTTTTTGAGACAGGGTTTCTCTGTGTAGCTTTGCGCCTTTCCTGGAGCTCACTTGGTAGCCCAGGCTGGCCTCGAACTCACAGAGATCCGCCTGGCTCTGCCTCCCGAGTGCTGGGATTAAAGGCATGCGCCACTACCGCCCGGCCAAGTTTTCTTTCTCTTAAACAGAGCAGGCCACTCAGCTCTGCTTAGCTGAGCACCTAGCAGCCAGAAAAGTAAAGACTGATAATTAATCCCTAGATGAAAGCAACAACTCACCCCCTGCCTCTCCCCTGAGCCCCTTGGGGAGAGGCTCATAGCTCTGGTTCACCCTAGCACCCCTGTGGAGCCTCAGTTTCCAGATCTTGGAAATGGGCCCCTGGTCTGTAGAACTCCATGACACTCTGCACAGGCTAGCATGGGCTCTCAGCAAGCTTTAGATGCAGAAGAGTCCATGGGGATGAAACTCGGGGGGTGGACTTGTCACCTGCCTCAGCCTCCAGGAATCCACCCTTGGGGAGTGCCCGTGGGTTGTGAATGCTCTAACAGAGCTGGGACAACAGTGGGAGCTGGCTGCTGGGAAGTCCCAGTAAAGTAGACTGGAACTGAGAGCAAGTGGTGGCAGAGGGTGTGTGTGTGGGGAGGGGGGAGCAGGTCTACTGACTGGCAGCCCTGTTCTTTCCCAGACCTGCTAACAGGGTCCCTGGCACGGACCTGCCTTCAAGACTGTGGGCACTTGCTCCTTCCTAATCTAGACGGAGAGAAGGATGGGTCATTGTGACTGGCTGGAGACCTGCACAGGGGCACTGCCCTAGTCCCCTAGTCTACAGCCACCAGGCTAGGGTATCTGACTGCCACAGGCAGCCCCCATGTGTACTCCTCAGGGACATAGTTTGATTTTTATTGATGCTTTGGTGCTGAGGAGGGAACTATGCAGTCAGGCATGCTAGACTGTCTTCCATCTCCCCACTGGGTGGTAGGGGAAATGTGGAGTCACTCCCCAGTGGGGGGGGGTGGCGGAGGAAATGTGCTATAAAAAGCCAAATACCAGGGCTGGAGAGATAGCTCAGAGGTTAAGAGCACCGACTATTCTTCCAGAGGTCCTGAGTTCAATTCCCAGCACCCACATGGTGGCTCACAACCACCTGTAATGAGATCTGGCGCCCTCTTCTGTGTACATAATAATAAACCTTAAAAAAAAAAAAGCCAAATACCAGCACATACCACCTAGTAACAGTACTGCCAATGAACCTGGGATTGACCCACCTACCTGGAGCTTGAGTTCAAGGTGTCTGGGAGCTTTTTCCCTGAAGAAACCCAGGCAGAACCCAGCTAGGTGGACCTCACTCCTGGCTGCAAGGCATTCCTTGGCACAAGACCTGGGACCCTTACCCCAACACTCCTGGCTCCAGGGACAGTGCCTTGACTCTGATGGCTGCTGAGGCTGGAGAGGGAAGTAAGGGAGGGCTGACCCTGCTGGTCTTGGTGAAGTCCATGTCAACAAACGAACCTGGAGGCTAGGTGCAGTGCTGTGTAGACTGAGCCTGAGTCTCTCCGTGCACTAAAGCCCACCCAGGGATGATCATGAATGACTCAAGCTCTTGACAGCCTCATGCATTAATGACCTAGCTGCCCTTTAGTTGGTTTTGCTTCCAGGTTTTTTGAGACAAGGTTTCACACGGTAGTCCATGCTGGCCTGGAACTCATCCTGCAGCCCTGACTGGCCTTGAATTCACCAAATCCTCTGGCCTCAACCTTCAGACAACTGTTTTGTTGCTGTTTCAGACAGGGTCTCTGGTAGGCCAGTTGTCCTAAACTCCTGTGTAGCTGAGGATGACTTTGATCTCCTGACTCCCCTGCCGTGACCTCTGGAGTGCTGGGATTACAGGTGTGAACACTGTGTCAGCTGGCTATCCAGGGCTGGGGGTCAATCCCAGGCCTCTGCGTGTTCGAGGCCAGCACTGTACTAACTTATGGTTTGAATGAAAAATGCACCCATAGGTTCTTACCTGAGCTCTTGGTCCTCAGTTGGTGGTGCTGTTTACTCACTGCTGAGTGAGGTACTGTACCTGGAAGAGGGCCTTGAGAGTTTACAGCTGCACCTCACTAATGTGGTGATAAACTGTGTACCCTAATATACTTGCCTGAGGATCAGAGGACAGAGCCAGCCACTAGATTAGACATAGAGGTCAGGCAGTGGTGGCACACACCTTTAATCCCAGCACTGAGATCTCATGCCTTTGCTTGGGAAGCACACATGCCTTTAATCCCACGAAGTAATATGGGAGGGCAGAGAAAGGTAAATAAGGCTTGAGGGAACAGGAACTCACCCTCTTTAGGCTGAGGATTTCGTAGAGGTAAGAACTAGCAGCTGGCTGTTCTGCTTCTCCGATCTTTCAGCTTTCACCCTGATATCTGGCCTTGGGTTTTCTATTAATAAGACCATCTAAGATTCAAACAACACACTAACAATGTACTGTTTTGCCAGGCAGTGGTGGTGGAGTACACCCTTAATTCCAGCACTCAGGAGGCAGAGGCAGGTGGATCTCTGTTCAAGGCCAGCCTAGTCTCAGTTCCAGGGCAGTGAGGGCTACACAGAGAACCCCTGTCTTGTAAAACAAACAAAAAACCAATTGACTGTTTCCTGTTCCGTTAAAGACGTGAGCTCTCGGCTTTCTGTTCCTGCTACCACGCCTGCTGATGCCAAGCCCCACAAAGCCTCCCTGAAACCCAGCTGCTTTTCTTCCTTCCTTCCTTCCTTCCTTCCTTCCTTCCTTCCTTCCTTCCTTCCTTCCTTCCTTCCTTCCTTCCTTGCTTCCTTCCTTCCTT